CCTCCCGTCCTTTCTCTTGCCTTCCTTGTCCCTCGTTCAGCCTTCTTCTTCTTCTACCGCTCCCAGCTACTTTGCCTGCCGCTTTTCCTCAGTTTCCCACACTTTTCGCTTTCTTATTAGCAAGCTATATTATGCAGTTTTCTTCAGTCCGTACTGCACGTCTGAAACGGCGCTCGCGCATGCGCAATATCTCCCGAGAAGAAGAATATGTTGTACAAATTATGCATTTAAGATGAAGAGGAGGTATTCTGGCATAGATTTATATTATAAAATTCCATTTGTAGAATTCTTTTGAGAAAGACGAACAAGACCTTGCATGTAAGGTCCCCGCCGCATATACCAGCCAGTGCACAATCCGGCTATGTTTGTGTGTTGGCGCATGCGTAATATCTCACAATTTATGATGAATATGCATTTAATATGGTTAGGGAGTATCTCAGCATAGGTTTCTGTAATAAATTATTATCAATTGGACCTGTGTTTATAATTAGGATAGCGCCCGGCCTAGCCTGTGGGGTGCAAAACTCCTATTTCATCACCTCCCGTCCTTTCTCTTGCCTTCCTTGTCCCTCGTTTAGCCTTCTTCTTCTTCTACCGCTCCCAGCTACCTTGCCTGCCGCTTTTCCTCAGTTTTCCACCTTTCTCGCTCTCTTATTAGCAAGCTATATTATGCAGTTTTCTTCAGTCCGCACTGCACGTCTGAAACGGCGCTCGCGCATGCGCAATATCTCCCGAAAAGAAGAATATGTTGTGCAAATTATGCATTTAAAATGAAGAGGAGGTATTCTGCCATAGATTTATATGATAAAATTCTATCTGTAGACTTCTCTTAAGACAGACAAAGAAGACCTTGCATGTAAGGTCCCCGCGGTATATACCAACCCGTGCACAATCCGGCTATGTTAGTATGTTAGCGCATGCGCAATATCTCCCCAGAGGAGTTACATTTTATGATGAATATGCATTTAATATGGTTAGGGGGTATCTCAGCATAGGTTTCTGTAATAAATTATTATCAGTAGACCTGTGTTTATAATTAGGATAGCGCCCTAACCTGTGGGGTGCAAAACTCCTATTTCATCCCCTCCCGTCCTTTCCCTTGCCTCCTCTGTCCCTCGCTCAGTCCTCTCCTTCTTCTACCGCCCCCAGCTGTCTTGCCTGTCGCCTTTCCTCAGTCTCCCACCCCTCCTACTCTATTAGCTAGCTATATTATGCAGTTTTGTTCAGTCCGTACTGCACGCCTGAAACGGTTTTCGCTCATGCGCAATATATCCCGAGAAGAAAGATATTTTGCAAACATTATGCATTTAAAATGAAGAGGAGGTATTCTAGCATAGATTTATATAATAAAATTTTATCTGTAGACTTATCTTAAGAAAGACGAAGAAGACCTTGCATGTAAGGTCCCCGCCGCATATACTAGCCAGTGCACAATCCGGATATGTTAGTATGTTAGCGCATGTGCAATATCTCACCAGAGGAGTCATATTTTGTTTTGAATATGCATTTAATATGGTTAGGGGGTATCTCAGCATAGGTTTCTGTAATAAATTATTATCAGTAGACCTGTGTTTATAATTAGGAGAGCGCCCTAGCCTGCAGGGAGCAAAACTCCTATTTCATCACCTCCCGTCCTTTCTCTTGCCTCCCCTGTCCCTCGCTCAGCCTTCTTCTTCTACCGCCTCCAGCTATCTTGCCTGCCGCTTTTCCTTAGTTTCCCACCCTTCTCGCTCTCTTAGCAAGCTATATTATGCAGTTTTCTTTAGTCCATACTGCACGCCTGAAACGGCGCTCGCGCATGCGCAATATCTCCCGAGAAAAAGAATATATTGCAAAAATTATGCATTTAATATAAAGAGGAGGTATTCAAGCATTGATTTATATAATAAAATTTTATCTGTTTTCTTAAGAAAGACGAAGAAGATATTGTATGTAAGGTCCCTGCCGCAGTAGTCGGCCTGGTCGCCGCAGTAGTCGCCGTAGTAGTGCCCGGTCCCTTCCGCCCGTCCCAGCCAGTACACAATCTGGCTACGTTAGTGTGTTAGCGCATGCGCAATATCTCACTAGAGGGGACATATTTTGTGATGAATATATAAAAAATATTTCTAAGAAATATTGCAATTACGTTGCGCGATTAATTTGAGCTCAATATTTCCCACACACCATCGAGTATTTCCTCATTGTGAAAGAACAATGAAGCTATACGTAAAATATGTATGTACAGCTATTTATATAATTATATAGGCTTATTGGTGAAAGCATAGATATATACAAATACATATGTGTTTGTATATATCTATGGTGAAAGGCAGGAGTGAGAGCCAAAATATGAAGAGCAATGAGTTTCTTTTTCTGTCGATAGATGGCAGTAAAACACCAAAATCTTGCTGAAGAATTGTAAACATGGCTAATGTATTTACGCACAGAGGCGTATTACGATTGTAAATTTGACGATTTCTTGTGGCCACAGGCGCCTTTTTTTATCTTGTTGCATGGTTTTTACATATCATTTGTATAAAGATGAATATAGGATTGTTAAACCCGCACGGTAATGGTTTATTGTATGCAGGATGGAACCAAGACCAAGGTAACACTTCTTGTTGTTTGCATCTTGTATCTTGTATCGTAGGGCCCAATCACACCAGAACTACGCTCATCACGATCGCCCCGTCCTCAAAAAATTTGCCCGAGCGTCATGAGCGTGGTTGAGAGTGTGGCCAATTGGGCCCCAGCCGGGCCCAGCCCCGATACTACGATCTAATTACGCACGAAGGGTCGTTGTCGTAACAGGTACTACAGATATGTACCCGAGGTAGTTTTAGGTTGTTTAGTATTATGTTTATATTTTTATATGAGGTATGTTTAGGGTTAGGGTTAGGGTATACTTCTGTAGTACAAGTCTGGTACACTTTGTGTATACATATATGTACCTTGGGTACATATCTGTAGTAGGTACCTGTTACGACAACGACCCCTTGAGCTCTAATTACGTCCATACTACGATCTAAGTGCGTCTTTACCCCGATATCATTGCGCTCAACAAGCTTTCACCACGCTCAACACCAAGCCCGCATCACGCTTGGACTGCGTGGACTGCGTCTTTATTGCGACCAATCAGATCGTGTTGCATTTCGAACGACGCTTGCACTGTGCCTTAGCAACGCTCACCGCGCCTCAACTGCACGCTAATCACGCGCCGACTGCGCTGGCGACGATCATATAAATACCGCGCCGCGTTCTATACATCATTATTCATTCTGCCGTGCTGTCAAGATTAATTATTAACATCAAGATAATTAAGATCAACATTATCAACTTAAATCAAGATTAACATCAAGATTATTTTCTACGGACACAACTATGCCGCCAAAAGACAAGGGGAGAGGCCGTGGGCTTGGCAATGAGGGCTTGGCAATCAAGTAGTTTGAGTTGTCCTTCTACGAGAAACATGGCATGGATTAGTGTTGCCTCATCCATAGTGGACACTGAACTGGTGGGGTGGCCAGGGTAGCACCCCAAATTATACCCCAAAGTTTGCAGGACGTGATCTGAGCGTAACTAACACGTAATGCGAACGCCACAACGGCGTAGTCTGAGCGTGTTGGGCGTAGTACAATCGTAGTACAAACGGGTTGAGCTTGCTAGAGACGCACCATGGTCATAGCGAGAGCGTGGTCAGGTCGCAGAGACATCTCCATGGACGTAGTTTCAGCGTGATGAAAACGTATTGACATCGTGCTGAGAACGGGGCGACAATTTTCACGCACCCGACACGCTTGCGATACGCTTGCGATACGATCATTAAGTTCGTACTACGCTCGAGTTACGTGGGTACTACGCCTTCCACGTCTCTAATACGCCCGCACTGCGCTGTATTTCTGCCACGCTCGCACCACGATTATTTTGAACATGTTCAAAGTTTGGCCACGCTCTCCACGCTCATGCTGACTGCACCGCGCTCGATCACGATCGCAGTACGTCCATATACGTCCACACTGCGTTCTACACGTTTCCACCACGCTCTTAGAGCGTAATACGAGCGTAGTGAGATCGGGGCCCTGGTGTGACTGGGGTATTAGCTCCCTCTCTTGTATTTCACAAGGCACCCGAATCTACGAGTGCGGGAGTCTACCGTGCTGTTTGCATGATTATGTCCTGTTTATAGTTACAGTCATGTAGTAGTACTAGTAGATAATCTTTATTTCTCGCTCTTTTAGTCTTTAACCGATATCTAACAAATGTATAAAAACAGTTTTAACAACATATCATTTCATTAAAAATATACAAGTTTAAGATACAGGTAATGAGGTAGACCCCCTATGGGTATGATAAAATATTGTCATAGTGATTGGTTCTTTATTTTATGTATATGCGTATAGTGTGAGTTTATCTATACTGTTATTTAACTAAATAAAAACACAAGGAAATAATGTAGTGTTGGTGTACATCGCTATTATATTAAACCTGTAAGTATAATGTATTACTATTAGCAAAACTGAAAGCAAATCATTTACTATGATTTAGAATGTAATCGTAAGAATTATTATAGAGCTGAGGTAGAATGCTGATGACGTTACCTGTAGGTGGAGTTAGTAATATATCTGCTACAATATTTTAAAATTGCATATTAGATCTGTCTTCATTTTAGGTTGCTTTGCGTGTGGTATGGAAAATGGCTTCCGTGTATACAACTGTGATCCCCTGAAGGAGAAAGAGAGACAAGGTAAGTAACAACAGACACGAACTAGCATGAGCAGTGCTAGTACAAATAGCCTCTTGTCAGTTGCAACGAGGGGTAGAGTACTAGGGCTAGAGGAGTGTGAGAGAAACATAATGCCGTTTCACCAAAAGACAACAACAATATTCACGATGTGCTATAACAAATTTTTGTTGATTCTCTTCTGATTATATTCCCTGAATAGTCAGCACATTGTCTACCCTACGGTCATCCTGGACTCAATGTTTGACAGCTAGTATGAATTTGTGCCTTGCTGATGTACAATGAAGGATATATTATGTCTACACTGTGCACATAGCACGCCACTGGACATTGGTTGATATCTCAAGCCATTGTTGAATCCTAGCCTTTTAATCACATGATGGAAATGCAAACTTGGATATGCAGACCTAGAAATGCATTTTTCCACATCATCTACTTTTAAATTTGGTCATTTTGGCATATCTCATGGAGCATACAGTCTTAGCTGCCTTGCAAAACTACTTACATATGGGTTGAGGTTGTTACACTACCATGAGAGATCGTGTATTTGTATATAAATCATCTGACCCACATTTTCTTTCTTTTTTCCGGCAGACTTTGCGGAGGGTGGAATTGGTTACGTCGAGATGTTGTTTCGGTGCAACTACCTTGCTGTAGTTGGGGGTGGCAAAAATCCTAGATATCCCCCTAACAAAGGTATGTACTTAGAGTATGTTGTTTGAAAAGGATGTGGATGTCATTCGAGGGTAGTAGAGATAATTGTATGTTTTAAGAGCTCATTTATAGTACCTACATTACGGTCTTCTTATATAAATTATTCGCATGGTCCACTTACTGAACAGTTCCATATTTTGTTTTTATAACCAATAACTATTAACGCCATAATTACTCGAGGGTTACTGTTGAATGCTTAACGGTATTTGCTGTTTCAGTGATGGTATGGGATGATCTGAAGAAGAAACATGTCATAGAGCTTGAGTTCTCTAGTGCCGTGAAAGCTGTGAAGCTGCGACGAGACAGGTCAGTATTCATTCTGATTCATCTCGAACATGCACTACATTCGCGATTCCCTTAAAACCACCACAGTATTATAAAAATGTGCGTGCAATATGTTGTGATGGTGTGCTGTAAAGGGCAGTCGGAGCAATTACTAAAATTTCTGTTTTCGTGGATGTTAATTAAAGCTTTCGGAAATGGTGCTGAATGTCCATATATGGTCATAATGTTGCAGAATCGTAGTGGTGCTGGAAAACGTCATAAAAGTCTACACATTTACCCAGAATCCTCAACAACTGCATGTCTTTGAAACTGCTCCTAACATACAAGGTAATAAGAAAATCGACAATATATATAAATATTGTAAAAAAAATAAACTACGTTAATTTCTCTTTTGTTTCATATCTGTTTATTTGTTTTCGCTTGAGTTCCAGCAGTTTACACACATGTTTGTCTTGCTTATGTTATGGTTAATCTGGAAAGAATATAGAAGTTTACTAGTTTAATCCAAACATTCGTCAACAAAAAGCTTCTCTTGTAAACGCCATTGAATATACGAGGTGCAACGATAATTGAACATCAGAGTACGCACGCACTGTATTCTACAACACAACACAATTTCAACGTTTAGCTCATACAATATGCGAACGCACCTCCAACGTTACTGCGTATATATGCGCCTAGAACAGTAACACAGGTATGCACACAGATAGCAACACTGACTTTATCATCACTTAACATATTTTAAACAGTCATATCATCTGCATAATCAATTGAAATACGTTACAACACTATCGACTAGTACTATAGAATAATAATAACGCACAGCGACTGCCATGCTGCGTTCTTTAGGGTTATCTTGGTAAACTTGAACTTGGAGTGTCTCTTGTTTCTCTGTAATTTACAATAACGAAAGGCGCGTTTCTCACCCTTTTATAAACAGTTCGTATCACTGCGCTAGCCTAAAATAGTGCGCGGGCGTATTACTGCAAGCGTAGGAGTTGTCACTAACAGATATAGTGAGTACAGCTTACATATTCATGCATGTAAATTTGCTTCAGTAATTGTACATTTTCATGATTATATTTGGACATTATAAGTACATTCTCCTCGTTTCGTTAGTTAGTATCATTTTTGTTTTTTGTTTTTTTGTTGCAGGCCTGTGCGTACTTTGTCCAAACAGTAACAATTCTCTGTTAGCATTCCCTGCTCGGAAAACAGGCCATGTGCAGATTGTTGACCTGGCTAACACAGGTACGTGTATCTGTAAATAACCTAGTAACATCGTAACTTAAATTGACGTATGTGACGAATTTTCTATGGTGTATTTTGTAAAAAAAATTGTTGCCATTTTTTTACATTAAAAGTAAGTACTAACGGGACTAAATGTATCGTCAAATTCTTACCTGATAAGATTGTTTCTCAACTAGTTAAAAATGCAATAAACCTGGACGATTTTGTATTATTATCCTGACAATAATTGCTTGCTATGGGCTATGTATGAATCACGAGTGTATGTTTACATCGAATAATATAGTAAAATAGGAAGTATAATGCAGCAATTTAACCATAAAAAGTGAACAGAATTACTTACATTTTGTGAAAAAGTGGAAATATTTTTTTAATTTTTACTATTTACAGTGACTTAATCATTTTAAAGTTTTACTGTCTTCACTTTATTTCTGTGTTTCTCTTTGGGTTTTGCTGTTTGAGCGTAAGATTGTGCGTCTGGACCGTATGTAATAGCAGTGTTGTTAGATTATAACTACTAATCAAAGCAGGTTATGTAGTTCAAATACTAACAGTTTGTCAAAGTTGTTCTTTTCTAAGAAAAAAACCAAAGACTGGTTTGTAGCTGTGGGTCACAGGGCCTACCTACCCAGTGACCAGAATATAGGTCATAGGCACATAGCTGATAGCATAGTAAAACTGCACTAGTGTTCTGGACAGGATATTGTTATCAGCTGCTGCTTGGCCGGTAGGTACAATAATGTAACCAAACAAGAGTAGGGTCTTAGACAAGCCCTACTCTTGTTGGGTTACATTATTGTATCTACTTGGCCGGGATTGGCTAGACCAGCAGACGCCCAGACAAATCGATCTCACCGATCACTGAATGATGACTATAGTCCTGTCAGGAACAGGGGTTGGTTTTAATTTTACCCGCACGCACGCATGCCCACCCTCACACACTCACGCACACGTACCAACTAAGTGATGTGAAAAAGTGGTGGTTTACAGCATAAACAGCATAAACACATCAGCTTTGTTGAAATTCCTCAAAACAAACGGAAGTGAAAAATGCACTGTACTCATACGCCAGCAAGAGATAGTTCCAAGTGATAATTGATACAATTCCTACCTCTAACTCTGTTGATCTATACAAACTAATACTATAGCTCATAGGGTCTATGTCCCCCAGGGTACTGCCGGAACGTACCCTGGGACGGCGCCGTATACCAGAAACTACCGCGGAGGGGCCTGGTAAAACTATTCTGATATGCGTTAGGTTATGGTTAGGAGACGTTCTTAGCGACTCCCTAGACTCGTTAGTGGAGTAGGCAAGGTACGGTCCGGCATATTAGATAGTACCAGGGTACGTTCCGGTATACTGGACTGTACCCAGGGTACGTTCCGGCAGTATCCTGGGGGACATAGACCCTCTCAGCAATACTATAGGCTTAAATCGACTAAAAACAGGATAAAATGTTTAGTCAAGACAATTCGTAAATGATAAATAAATAGATTAACAGCGGAAAAGCATATTAAAAATATAGTTTTATATATAACTCTCAATACAGTTAACGGTATTGATCTTGACCATGAATCGAGAGCTGTAGCAGCAATATAGGATCGAACGTATGTGGCGATAAAGGTTGAAAACAACTGTCTCATAGAGTGAGTTTCTGTAATAATTTACCTGTAGATGGCAGTAGCAGTAACAGAATTTTCATAATGTCGCTCAGTATCCAACGCACGCCCTCACTATTACATGAATACCGCTTTTAGCTAGGTTAATGGGTGCGTGATCTTGTTGTACTCATTGCACTGCATTTTCATTCATTTTATAACAATAACATTCATTCATACGATTGTAATGATGAGGATTTCCACTTGAATTTTAATAGAAAAGCCACCGCTAGACATAGCGGGCCACGAAGCAGCACTCAGTTGCATTGCGCTTAACCTGCAAGGAACAAAACTAGCCACTGCCTCAGAAAAGGTACCGTTTTAGCCTCATAAATAGGCAATTGATACATTTCAGACTTCCAACTGTCTATTGTATATTTAAGGTAATATGTGACATGTTGTTTAGAGCTTTTAATAAGAAGTATTGACTTTGATTGGTGTTGCTAACTTTTTCCATGCATGTTGCTGTTGTGTGTTATGTTGTTCAACTGTTGCTGTGAGTGTTGTTAACTGTTGCTGTGCATGTTGCAGGGAACGTTAATAAGAGTGTTTGACACGAGTAGTGGCGCCAAGCTGCATGAACTACGGCGAGGCGCCAACACAGCTCACATATACTGGTAAGGAGCCATAAGGAATCCTGCAGGCAGTGGAACGCAGAGAATCGGCTATTTTCTTGTATAGTTTTCATAATTATTATTTTCAATATTTTGTGATCGTTCCTGCATCTTTCTTTCTTACTCTCTTTATCATTCCCGTATCTCTTTCTTCCATCGCAGATAACACCTCAGTTAACATTCTCTCGCTTGCTCTCAGATTTTTGTCGCTTTTTTGTGTTGTTTTCGTTTTAAAGCAATAACATTTATTATTCTGTGATTTTTCTTAGCATAAACTTCAACCATGACTCTTCTCTACTGTGTGTATCCAGTGACCATGGCACAGTGCACATTTTTGCAGTGGAGGATGCCAAGAAAAACAAACAGTCAAGGTCAGTGATCAATATGAGTGTCGCTAACTTTGCACATGGGCTCTTTCCTTAAGCCTAGTGCAGACCTGGGATTTTTGGTTGCTCGTCGCTGCAACCTGCAACCGCAAGCGATCGGTCGACGTGTCGCCGCGTGTGCGCACACATGCGATTTCGAAGCAATTCTAGAGCAATTTGGGAGCGATTGGGAGCAACGAGTCGCTCAAAATCAAAACAGTTTGATTTTTGCAACTCGTCGCAAGCGACCAGAATTGCTACGGGTTGCAGTTGTACGTTACCGCAGACGTAGCGATTTCACAGCAATTTTTACAGCGATTCTAGAATCTCTGTCGAGCTGCATGAAAAAGTCACAGGTCTGAGCTAGGCTTTAGCTGGGTCAGAATGATTTCACCAATCTATAACAATATGCCAATGCATAATAGCATATGCTGACTTTCTCTGAGCAGGGGTTTCAGCTGTTAGTTTTTATTATCATTTTATTATTATTATTTCTTATAGCTATTAGCTATAAGCTGATTAGTTTCAGTCATTAGGAGATTGAAATGTTAATTGTCGTCTTGTGTTTCAGTTTGGCGTCGGCGTCTTTTCTTCCCAAGTACTTCAGCTCCAGGTGGAGCTTCTGCCGGTTCCAGGTGCCAAGCGGCTCACAGTGCATCTGTGCGTTCGGTTCGGATCCAACTGCTGTGATAGGTGCGCTGTGAGATCGGGGCGTAACGTTGAATGAAAAGTTCGATGTATAAATGATGATATTAGAAATCCAAACTTGTGTGGTAACCTGAATAAACTTTAATATCTTACACACAGTGTGTCCATCTTGCACAAAGGAACAAAGAAATGCGTACACGCGCGTAAGCGCGTGCGCTTACTCTCGCGACCACAACCAGACTCCCGACCCCTACATCTCTCTTCCGTCTCCAAAACCCCGCCATAATCCCACATGTCTACACCCGCTCTGCTCACCACCCATTTCACATCTACGCCAATTTCTGGAGAGACAGAACGATCAGGATGTAGATTATTTTAGGGGAACACAAACGTGGATACTAA